CACATGCCACAGGGCCACTAAGCCCAAGCACCACAACTAGAGAGGCCCGCATGCTGCAACGAAGACCCAGCAAAGCCAGTAAATCAATAAGATTGTCAAAAAAAAAAAAAGCTGGAGAGAGAAAAAAGAACAACCTCTCAGAAGTGGAATTCCAGATGGACAGCTGCTTCCTTGCTGAGCATGTGGATAACTGTGGGACACTATTTGGTCTGACCATGAGCAGCCCGATGATAAACGAGGAGTCATAATTAGCCTTTTATCCCAGAGTTTCTTCAGGTTTTTCTTTTTTAAACAAAGATTTTAGTATTCGAAGGCCCTTCAGTGAGGATGAGGCACCACTAATGGATATTTGCCCCAGTGAACATCTGGACAGAAAAGTCACCCAATCCTGTTTTCTGGATATGTTGGTGGAGGTCCCTTTGTGACAGAGGGTCGCCTACTGTCTGTGTCTGGTTAGATCATCTACTTGAGCTTCTATGATGAACAACATCCTAGGGGTGTATTTTCATGTCAGACCCTCAGGTATTATCATGATTAATTCAGATCTGCTGGGAAAGATTGAGAGCAGGAGGAGAAGGGGTCAACAGAGGATGAGATGGTTGGATGGCATCACTGACTCAATGGACATGAGTCTGAGCAAACTCCGGGAGATGGTGAAGGACAGGGAAGCCTGGTATGCTACAGTCCATGGGGTCACAAAGAATCAGACACGGCTAAACAACTGAACAATAACAGAGTCCACATGTAAAATATGCTTTCATTTACTGTTTAAAAAGAAATATTGAAGACATTGCCGACAACACTTCATGTGAAGCTTATCCTATGAAACTTTAGACATTTTATGCTGGGGTGTCCCCGTCCACTGTGGACCCAGGTCAGCTTCCTCTTTCCCAGGAGAGCGCCCTGTGATGCTGGCTGTGTCTCTTCCTGCCGGAAAGCTCCAACTGCAAATCTGGATCCCCATTTACATTGTCTTCTTTTCCTCACCTAGAGTTTTCTGTTTCCAGTTTGTTAAACTCACTTTTTGGTAGAAGCATTTCAAATCCTTTTTGAGAAAGAAGCAGGCTATAAAAAACAGTGTCTTCAGCATCATTAATAATGAGATAAAACACTTTTCAAAATAGCCATCTTTTGGCAAAAGGGTAAGGAAAAAAAGCACATACTTCAGGCGAAAGCTATGTGAGTCCACCATTCACTTGTGCGATGGTTTGAGGCCAGTCAGGTAATCTCTCCACACCTCCATTTACTCCTCTGTAAAATGGGATTAATAATAATACCTGGGTCATGGGGTTTCTTTGAGGATTAGATGAGATGCTCAGAAAACTACAAATATTTAATTCAAAAATAAATACTAAGGTGTAAATCCTTATAAAGCATGGCTCCTGTCACTCGCAAACACGTAACTGGGCTCTCAGTTTTTGTTGGGGGGCCCTGGGTTTTGTGTTTTTCTGGTATTGTGGCACAGTGAAAAGAATCGAGGACCTGGTACTGTTCATCCTCTGATGCAACAGGATGCTATCTGAGCTCTTTTGCTGGAGTGTTTGAACTGCAGGGACCCAGACTCAAAGCTCAGTGCTAGTGGGTTAGGGTCTTCCTCTCCAGTGTGCACACGGGGCTCTCAATTATCTGTGTGATGAGAAGTGAGCCACTCGGTCATATCTGACTCTTTGTGACCGCATGGACTGTAGCTCGCCAGTCTCCTCTGTCCTTGGAATTTTCCAGCAAGAATACTGGAGTGGGTTGCCGTTCCCTTCTTCAGGGGAGCTTCTCGACCCAGGGATCGAACCCAGGTCTCCTGCACTGCAGGTGGATTCTTTATCATCTGAGCCAGCAGGGAAGTCCATATGATGAGGGAGAGGGAAATCATGAAATATGCATAAATAAATAATAATCTGCAGATTAGACGATTTTAATTTTCATTCTCTGTCTTCCTTCCCATGGCCACTGCCCTCAGACGATCACCATCACCCCTTCAAAGGACCGGACCACCAATTCCCCTATCTGTGCCATATCACTAACACCCACAGACTGACTTTCTAATCTCATCTGCCTTCACACACAAATGTCTGCACACACACACAGACACTACAGGGGTAGCTAATATCTTGCAAGCAATTTTTTGGCATAAAGTCGTTTATATTGTCCTCCTGTGTCCTCCCTTATCTGACTTTTTATTTTGAAAATTTCAAATCTACAGAAAAAAACATCCTCACCTCAAGTCCCTAGTATTTTTTAAACTATTTTGCCACATTTGTCCCCTCCTCTTGCTCCCTTGTTCCCCCCTTTCTCTTTTTCGTTTTGGTGGAAATGTTGACAGTTGGCAGATACCCTGAGCCCACATCCCTACCCACCTCACAAGCATCTCCTCAGATGTGGACCTTCTGCATGACCAGAGTACCATCATCACACCAATGAACCTCATGATTCCCCAGGATCAAATCCACATGTATTCAGATATCTCCAATGATCCACCCACGTGTCCTCCCCAACTCACCTACTCATTCAAAGCTCATTCAGGGAATACTTCTGAAGTTCCCACCTTTTGACACATCATGGACATATCTTGATTATTTTGATGCTTTAACCTATGTTTCCTATGAACTAGTAGTTAGTTCTACAGGTCTCTATGCCTCTATCTCCAATACAACAACAATGTCTGGGGGCGTGGATGTCTCCTTTGCCTTTCCTTGCCTGTCTGGAGTGGGAGGACCTGGGATGAGCACACTGGAAGCCCAGGGTGCGGCAGCCTGAGCGCTTGGTCCATCCCTTCTTTCCACGAGCCCTCCTGGAGCAGCTGCTCAGAGTGGTATTTCAGAGAAGAAACAGGCTGGGCCCCCAGCCTGTCTGCTTCAGAAAACCTGCTGAGGAGGTAACGTTTGGGTCCAGATCTGGAAAAAAGACAGAACTGGAGTGTGTTGGAACCAGGGAGGGTTTGGGGAGAAAAGTGGGCTCCCGGGAAACATCTTGGGGAGAGGTGTACACGACCAGGGATGCGTGTGTCCTAGGGACCCGCTGGACTGCTCCCCTCACCGTTCAGGGAGCCATTGGAGTCCACTAAGGTTGGCCTTTTCCAATACCGACTTCCCTCCTTCAGCAGCCCCATTCTAATGTGAATAAGTTAAAAATACATTTTTTTTGGAGGGTAGGAGTAGGGGTGGAGGTGGTATGGGTCAAAAAAGAACTCCCCTGTTTATTTACAGACCAACTAGAAAACCCATCCCATTTCAGAAACTTCAGCACATGAAAGAAAAAAAACACCATGCTGTTTTGAGTCAAAGAAGTACTTGCTTCCCCTTTATTTTGGGAACTACAGCTCACTAGTTTCAGAAAGAGGCGTGACCGTCCTCAGACGCTTCCTATGTCAGCCAATGAGATGATAAACAAGGTGGTGGTCGCCAAGGCCTGTAGGACCAAAGGCGGGCCAAGCCGGGGCAATAGGGATGAGCTCCTGAGGCTTTTTTTGACCTGTTCCTCCTCCAGGAGGTGTTCCGAACTCCCATGGCCCACCTTCCCCATGTGAAACTGTCCTTGTTCCGTGATGCTCTGGGCAGGGGTCCCCTTTGGCAGTGCCTGAGAAAGACAGTCACAGCAGAGCACCTGCCCCGCTGTGCCCCGGGAGAACTTCCTGGACTGTGTCCAGGGAATCTGCTCTGTGAACCTAGGTGATTCTCGTGTGCCTTTGGGTTTGGGAACACTGCCGTCCAGTACCTTGTAATGGAGTGCATAACCGATTTTGTTCTGTTTTTAATGTATAAATTTGACCATGAGGCTGTGCTGTGAGGAATAGTCATATCCGATTTCAGTTTTATAGTCACCTTTAGATCTAAAGTTCCCAGTTTGCTTTGGGTGGCGCTCTGTACATCCTAGTATAACTGAATAGACAGATAAGAGTTTAGCCTTTAGAAGGGTGGTTGAAATGGCAACCCACTCCAGTACTCTTGCTTGGAAAATTCCATGGGCAGAGGAGCCTGGTAGGCTACAGTCCATGTGGTCGCAAAGAGTTGGACACGACTGAGTGACTTCGCTCACTTTTCCATCTGTCTCACTGGTTGTGCCCAAGCCCCCTGCTGTCGGGGGTCTTTCCTGAGGCCTTAGGGTGGCTGGCGGCACCCTCTGTGCCTCTGGCTCTGACATCTCTCCTGTTTTCCACACTCACGCGTCTCACTTTGAAGTCTACAGATGTGATCTTGTGAATGTTCCTACAAGCATCTTTTCTCCATACCTGTGTCTTCTCTTTGATTTGCAGTCTCCATGAAGGCCACCACCATTGCCCCAGGCCCCAGCCACATAAGGATGGAACCACTCTTTATGCTTCCTGGCTCTCCATCATGTTTGCCTTTGAAGCCCCAGGTCCTCTCACTTCACATTGCATAGTGACATTCATCTTCAGCCAAGCTTCCCCCTCCAGCCCAACTCCTGGACTTCCCTACTTGTTCTCTGAAGGGTTCAACTTGAACTAGTTCCCCGAAGGGGCCGTGTTCCCAGGGCCAGTTCTTTGCATGTGAGGTTCTCTCTTCCTGGAATCCCTTTACTGACTCTGCCACCTAGCTGACATCACTCCCATTCTGACTCAAAGCATTTCCATCAGGACGCTTCCGTTGCCCACATCCTTTTCCTCTTGCCTGAGGTCAATGTCCTTTCCTATGTCCTGTGCATCCTCTGTCATTGACCTGCCACATCGCATTGCTATTTTAATTCATGCATCTTCACCACTAGAATAGGAGCGTCTTTAGGGCAGAAATTGATGCTAACATAAAACTGATGCTCAATAAATTGTTGTTGAATAAATGAGTGAACAGATTATGAATGAGCACCTGGCTTGTGAACAGTCTTCACCTTTTTGACTTGGTTAAATCATCAACAATGAAGAATAGAAGTGTATTTGTTGTTGTTGTTGAGTCGCTGTCACGTTCTCTTGATTAATGGAGAGACTTCGGTGGCTGGAAGCCAGTTCTGGAATGGTAAAACGATGCCATTGCTTTTGTATTCCAACAGGAACTATGGGATGTATAAAGTCAAAAAGGAAAGACAATCTGAATGACGATGGAGTAGATTTGAAGACGCAACCAGTACGTAATACTGACCGAACTATTTATGTGAGAGATCCAACGTCCAATAAACACCAAAGGCCAGTAAGTAGATAGTCTCAGGGGAGCATTCCCACGGCAGGATCAAAGCATGGCTGCATAATTTAAACTCCAAATCTGTACCATGTTCATGCCAAAAACCCCCCAAAAAATCATGTTAATTACTTGGGCCTCAAATAATTTTCATATACTTTGTAACTTAATCCTTTAAAGAGTTTACAAATATATTCGAGACAACCAGGCCACTTAATGTACAATAAAGGGGCCTTTGGTCACCTTCTTATGTTTGGCGATTTTCACGTTGCCTGTCACTGGTACAAATACCCTCTCTTTTTTTGTAAAGACATGTATATGAGCTTGTGTGACTTAGGATGGGCAATAAGATTAGTGGTCTGAAAGCAGAAGGAAATGCTGAATTCAAGTCGGAAGCCAAAATAGGTGCTAATATGCCCTTTGGTAGATGTTGTTTGTTGTTTAGTCGCCCAGTCATATCCAGCTCTTTGAGACTCCATGGACCATAGCCCACCAGGCTCCTCTCTCCATGAGATTTCCCAGGCAAAAATACCGGAATGGGTTGCCATTTCCTTCTTCAGGGGATCTTCCTGACCCAGGGATCGAACCTGTGTCTCCCACGTTGGCAGGTACATTTTTTGCTGCTAAGCCACCAGGGCAGCCATCATACTTTATCCCATCATGTTGTTCTTCAATTAATTCAAACTAGTACAAACACTGAAATTGTCATGACTTATTATAGAGAATTAAAAGATTTTTTTAAAAAGCAACTAATTCTGCCTTCTAACCTAGGACAAATATCTGTACCAGCATTTTTACATGATGGATGTGCTCTCTGATGCATTTGAGAAATGCTTGGCAAAGAACTAATATCACGTTTCATGGAAGAAAGGAGCAGAGCTTTGGATAATTACAACCTTAAATGCACTTTAATTCGGATCTTAGTTCCTTTCTGTTTGCTCACTGCATATATGTACATCCCCCATTGCCTGGTTTTTATGGAAACCAGCTTTTCAGTGTTTAAGCTGAAAGCAGCTTATTCCACATTAGTCCAAATGCCTTCATTAAGAGTTTTCATTGTTTCTCTAATTTGACATGTTTTTAAATGCCTTGGCATTCTAGAAGTAGATCATTGCTGTCACACCCTCTACCAGCCCTCTCCCCCACGTTACCCCTTATCCTGCAGGTATGGTGTGTGTCAAGGTCACATGTCATTGTTGAGATTGGTAAGTCGGTGTTGGTATTCTTGCAACAAAGTAGAGATGAAGAATGAATACATTATGTTGTTAATTCCCTACGTGATATTTCTAGACAGATAAATTAATGTTATAATTTTAGGAACTTCCCTGGCAGGCCAGTTTTTAAGACTCTATGCTTCCAATGCAGGGGGCAAGGCTTTGATCCCTGGCTGGGGAACTAAGACCCCATAGGCTGTGGTGCACAACCAAAAAAGAAATTTAAGAAAAACATTGTGGACTTACCTGGTGGTCACCGGTAAAGATTCCTCCTGCCAATGCAGGGGACGTGGATTTGATCCCCTGTCCAGAAGAACCCCCATGCCACAGGGCAGTTAAGCCTGTGTGCCCTAGAACCCCTGCTCATGAGAAGCCACTGCAATGAGAAGCCTGTACACCGCAACTAGAGAATAGCCCCGTAACTAGAGAAAACCCGTGCACAGCAATGAAGACCCAGCACGGCCAAAAATAAAGAAAAATTTTAGAAAACATTGTAATTTTACATATAGAAACTCAAAATGTACAAAATTATTAATAACTTTAATAATTTAGTTATAAATACTTATAAATATAATATTCAAAAACACATCACATAAATAGGTATAGATGTGGAGCTATGCTATGGAAATATGACTAACAGAAAATGAAATGATACAAGGACTTGGAGTCACAGATAATTTTCTCATTATAGACTTCAAAGGCATCATAAAAAGGACCTGACTTTTTCTAGTGTCATGTGCTGTAGATTTTACATGGCTTAAAATCCCCCATTTTTTTTTTAACGTAATAAAAGAAGATGTCCTTCATTCAGAAAAGCAAAGGGGACCAGTATAAACTTGCGCACCATTTTTCCTCTTGGTAAGAGTAAAGGAGGTTAAAAGTTAAGTTAGAAAGCAGAAGTAGAAAGCATGTTTGAAATCTCTCGGTTCCCTCATGCACCCCCGGAGCACAGTGCACTCTGCCTTCTGTGGTCACAGGTGCCCTGGTTTGTGAACTGGGCAGTTGGGCCTTAGTCCATGGATAACGTTCAGCTCCAGCCAGATGTGCCCAAAACACACCCCTGTATTGATTACAGCCTTTATTGTATGACAGCAAGGCTGAACTGACACGAATTCAACAATACTCTAAGGAAAAGACATTTTAGGGAAGAAGAGTGCTGACAGATGACTTCTATACATGTGTTTTGGCCTTCTGAAGAGTGTGCTCAATCATTTATCAATTAAGAGCTCTTTGATATTTGAAAATCAGCTTGCTGCTTTCAGAATGATTTAATCAGTTTCTCGCCTTCTAATTGTTTCCTCTAACTCCTTTAAAATTAATCATATATTCTAATTATGCAAATCTGAATGAGTTTAAAAATCAGTATAGAACTCCTTGAAATAAGTATTGAAAGATCATCTGGAGCCAAGAGTTTCTGAGCCAGAAAAACATAATCCCCTGCTTCCCACCCCCTGCCCTGGAGATTTGATGGGCTGACTTCCATCAGAAATTTAAATTTCAGTACAAGCTGTTTTGGTCCATATTCCATTCAATCACATTAATCAAAGAGAAACACGATTAAGCCCAGGAAGTCTCACGCATCCTCCCCATGTCAACGAAGGAAAAAGGAATTTGATTTCCAAGGTGATTGAGGTGGCCTTTTGTACCACCAGGCCCTTCCTGATCATTCAGCTCCAAGCTAAAATAACAGGGATGCCATCTGTCCCCACAGCGGAATCGGGGTCAGCCACAGGAAGCCTGGATCTGTTAGGACTTGTTCTCAGCTGCCAGTGACCAAGCCCTTACAACAGCTTTTTAAAACAAGTCTGGGAAAAGTGAAGATCAGCAATCCTGGCCTGGGTGGCACTTCCACAAGGTCACCAAGGACCTGAGTGACCCCCAGGACCCCTCTCCATCTTTTTCTCTGCTGTCTCTGGTCACTGGTATCCATGGCTGCTGAAAGCCCAGCTCATCACTTGCTTCTGGGCAGAAAGAAGGCGGCCAGGGAATAAGAAAGCCGATCCCAAAGCCCCATCACCTGCCTGCAGGTCAACCCCTTGCCATCTGCATAGAAGGCTGGAGAATTGGGAAGCATCACCATGTTGCAGGGCAAACCGCCATCCCCAAGGATATTCGGGCTCTGGTACCAAATCAGGGGGAGGGTGCCGATTGGATCAGCAGCGGCTCAGAGTGCTGGACATGTCCTGTCGCCCCCCAGGCCAGTGATTGCTGAAGAAGGAAAAGCCTTTCCATGGTCAGGGTTGGGGTAGGGATCGGAACACAGCTCCGCAGGACTGTTCCCCTGCACTCCTCTTCTTTCTGGCTTAATAAATTAACAAATCTTAACCCTATTTGCTTCTGTTTGAAAATGACATAACATACAGTGTGAATGTAAGCATAAAACGCTAAACACAGAAAATATTTTTCTAACGAATATTCTCTCTTAGGTTGCAGACTCTCAGCTTTTACCAGGACAGAGGTTTCAAACTAAAGGTATGTTTTCATAACACCATGGTAGTTTCTTTTTTTTTTACTGTTTGAGTCTCTGTAAAGTAGTTGTACTGGATGTTTTTGTTGATTTTGAGGGGGCGGGCGGTCAGGTGAGGTAGAAAAGGATAGTTTTGTTGTTTTGCCAGGCAAAGGGAGACACGCTAGGCTTCTGCCTTAAAAAACTATATGTCTCCGAATTTTTTTTAATTGTGGAAAAATAGCTATAACATAGAATTTATCATTTTAGCCATGGAAGTGTTCAGGTTGGTAGCATTAACTACCTTCTCATTTTTGTGTAGTCATCACTTCCATCCATCCATCTCTCCGTTTGGGATGATGAACTTTCCATCATCTCAAACAGTAACTCTGTGCCCATCAAGCACAAACTCCCACCCCCCATCCTCCCGGCCCCTGGTACCCACCATTCTACTTTCTGTCTCTATGAGTTTGACGGCTCTGGGGATCTCGCCTAAGTGGAATTAAATGGTATTTGTCCTTTTGCAGCTGACTTATGTCACTTAGCATAATGTCTTGAGGTTCGTCCCTGTTGTAGCAGGTGTCAGAATTTTGCTTCCTTTTTTCTGTGGTATGTATACACAGTGTCCTCAGATAGTTTTCTCCTTTTAGCTTTTGTAAACAATGCTGCTATGAGCACAGGTGTATCGTATTTTAAACCTAGAGCTGGAAGTCATTGAGGTCATAGGTCTCTATGATTTGAGATGACAGACACTGTACCACTGTGTACAGTGTGTGGCCAACCACAGACCACATGGCGCCCAGGCCCTCTGGGGGGAAAACAGGTCTTCTTTCCCACTGCCTGTTTCCTCAGTACATCCTTGCACTCTGTGCCCCGTGACAAGCTGTTACAACATTTCTGCTGTGGATTCTTTTTTTAAAAAACTTTTTATTTTATATTGGGGTATAGCCGATTAACAATGTTGTGAACAGGGAAGGTGAACAGTGAAGGGACTCAGCCATACATATACATGTATCCATCCTCCACCAAACTCTCCTCCCCTCCAGGCTACCACATGACATTGAGCAGAGTTCCCTGGGCCATACAATCAGTCCTTGCTGGTTATCCATTTTAAACATTCCGCTGTGGATTCTTAAAGGTCTTCGCTCGCCTTGGTCATTTTCAGATCCAGAGGAGCAAGGGGACATCGTGATCGCATTGTATCCATACGATGGCATCCACCCAGATGACTTGTCCTTCAAGAAGGGGGAGAAGATGAAAGTCCTGGAGCAGTAAGTGTAGCCGGGGGTCTCTCTTCTATAGCACCAAGTCCCGAAGTCTCTCCCCCTCCCTGGGCTTGGCCGCCAGCGGCACAGCATGACAGACACCCCTCTGGGGGTGGGCACGGAACCCCAGCCTTTTTGCTGCCAGAAGGAGCAGGGCCAGAGGGATTTTCCTCTTAGGCTTTACTGTGAGCAGTTCCCAAGAGTTTTTCCTTTGAAACCAAACACCATTGTCTTTCCTTATCCATTTGTGCTACCTTAAGAGGCTTAGATCTATGTGGAGTTTGCATTTCTTTTTTAAAAATATTTTAAAAATGTATTCTTGGCTGTGCTGGGTCTTTGTTGCTGCTCTCGGGCTTTCTCTAGTTGCAGCGAGCAGGGGCGACTCTCTAGTTGCAGTGTACAGGCTTCTCACTGCAGTAGCTTCTCTTGTTGCAGAGCATGAGCTCTAGAGTGTAACGGCTTCAGTAGTTGCAGTACACGGGCTCTCTAGTTGTGGCCTGGGGGCTTCATTGCCTCGAGGCACGTGGGATCTTAGTTCCTGGACCAGGGATCCGCACCATGTCCCCTGCATTGGTGGGTGGATTCCTAACCGCTGAACCGCCAGGGAAGTCCCTGCATGTTCTTTTAATGACATTTTTACTTTGTTATTTTCCTCAACTTCACACTGAGTGTATGGGTCCAACCGGGTGTGAATCATCAGGGTGGGGCGCCGAGGCAGCGGTCATCTCGGGGAAAGCCCCTGCTCAGCACTTAGCGCTTCTGTGAAGATGCTTGGACATCGTTTTCTTGACCCCTCCAGGCTGACTCACAGGGCTCAGGACCATGCTGAGAATAAGGAACTTCAGTAATTCTACTGCTCTTCATATAGGGTCACCTTGGCCGGCCAACAGGAGACCCTTGGTTGGCTGGAGGAGGGAGACCCTTAGTATAAGGTGTTGAGTGGCTGAGAGGGTTGTCCATTACTGGCTGAGTGTGAACTTGAGCCTCATCCTGGCCTTGCCACTTGATCACTGTGTGACCAAGACAAGTCCCTTCAACTCTGTATGTTAGTGTCTCGCTTGTGAACCAGAAACGGCTTGTGTGTGTTTGTGTGTGTGTGTTTTACAAATATGGCACAGGCGTGGAGTGTACCACAGCTTAGCGCCAGTTGTAATTGTCCTTCATGTTTTGCCGGATGAGGGTCCTGTCTGGGTGTGGGAACCTGACAGGAACACAGCTGAGGCTCATCCGTTGGTGACCCATCCGTTCCTCCCTCCCTAGCCCCTTCCCTGGCTCCATGCCTCTCTCAGGATATGCAAGGTGGTGATGCGGCTCATCTGCTTGGGACTGTTTTATGGTTTTCTTTTTTTTTTTCCATGGCATCAGCCTGTGGACACTAGCTATTTCAACAAAGGCGTTAATAACTTAAGAACTATGACCTTTTATTCCCTTGACTCCCATTTCTCTAAGTGTGAAAAGTGGAAGTGTTAGTCGTTCAGTTGTATCCTACTCTTTGTGACCCCATAGACTCCTCTCTCCTTGGAATTCTCCAGGCAAGAATACTGGGGTGATTTGCCATGCCCTCCTCCCGGGGATCTTCCCAGCCCAGATATCAAACCCAGGTCTCCTCCATTATAGGCAGATTCTTTACCCTCTGAGCCACCAGGGAAGCCCATTTTGTAGATATCCCCAAGGAAGTTAAGAACTCTGCTTCTGCAAGGTGGAAACCATTTTCACCAACTCTTATGCAGCAGCTCTGAGCACAGAGACCCACACTTCAGTCATGAGGCTGTTTTCCTTTGCTTCTATCATTAAAAATATTTGTATTTCATCAGGATGCATCAACTTTTCCCCTGCATTCTGGGGTCCTAGGGTCTTCCCCACTGTCCCACACCCCACAAGACACTTTAAGACAATTGCTCTTGTAATTCTTGAGTCATTGAATACAAACCCTTTTTTCTTTTTTTAATATATATTTATTTGGCCATGTCGAGTCTTAGCTATGGCATGTGGGCTCTTTCTTGGAGGCGCAAGCACTTGCTTGGCTGCCCCATGGCGTGCGGGATCTTAGTTCCCTGACGGGAGATTGAATTCACATCTCTTGCATTATAAGGTGGTTCTTAACCATTGTACCATCAGGGAAGTCCAACAAACCCTTTCTGATGTGGGTTTCTATTCCAGGAATGGAGAGTGGTGGAAAGCCAAGTCCATTTTGACAAAGAAAGAAGGCTTCATTCCCAGCAACTATGTGGCCAAAGTCAACACCTTGGAAACTGAAGAGTGAGTCCTCACCTGGAGTGGTCTGGAATGGTTCTTTGTGACATGCTGGATTTCTTGCTTTTTCTTCATCTTTTTTCTCCCTGGGATTACAACACCCATGGGATGTTAATATGTCTTCACAGGTGGTTTTTCAAGGATATAACCAGGAAAGATGCAGAAAGGCAGCTTCTGGCCCCAGGGAACAGCGCTGGAGCTTTCCTTATCAGAGAAAGCGAGACCTTAAAAGGTAAGAAGTGAAATAAGGCCTCTTAGCAAAGGCTGTTTAGGAAATGGTTCTTAGAAACGATCCTAGAATTCTGTTAAAAAAGAATTATGGGCAGACCTCGTTTTATTGAAGTATAGTTGATTTACAATGTTGTGTTAGTTTCTGCTGTACAGCCAAGTGATTCTGCTATACATAGACGTAGTGTTTTTCATACTCTTTTCTGTTTTGGTTTATCACAGGTTATTGAATATACTTCCTTGTTGTATGCAGTAGGACCGTGTTGTTTATCCATCCTATGTGTCATAGTTTGCATCTGCTAATCCCAAACTCCCAACGCTTCCCTCCCCATAATGCCAATCTTGTTTACAAAATATAAGCGTAATCTTTGCTTGTACTTCTTCCTCTGCAGGAAGTTACTCTCTGTCTGTCAGAGACTATGACCCGGTGCACGGTGATGTGATTAAGCACTACAAAATCAGAAGTCTGGACAATGGGGGTTATTACATCTCCCCACGAATCACTTTTCCTTGTATCAGCGACATGATTAAGCATTATCAAAGTAAGTGAAAACACAAGGTTAGACAAAAAAAGAAAGATACATGTTATGATAAATATATGATGTCAAACTTAATATAAAAATTTTTGTATCCTGCAACTTTACAGAATTCATTGATGAACTCTAGTAGTTTTCCTGGTAGCCTCTTTAGAAAGAAGAATCATATTTCTTTTGGATAAAGTTACAGGATCATATTCTGTAACTGGTCCTAAAGTAACCTATAACTATACATTCAACAGTGGCACTAGTGGTAAAGAATCTGCCTGCCAATGCAGGAGACATAAGAGACACCCACTCAGTCCCTGGGTTGGGAAGATCCCCTGGAGGAGAAAATGGCAGCCCACTCCAGTATTCTTGCCTCGAAAAATTCATGGCCTGAGAAGCTTGGCGGGCTACAGTCCATGGGGCCACAAAGAGTCAGACACGACTGAGCGGCTGAGCACAAAAAACATTCAAGGTCACATTTGATCTTTGAGAATAATTATCCTAGTCCTTCCCACCTAGCTTGTGCTGTTTAACAGTTAATGTTAAAAAATTACAAAGATAGAAATGAGCATTATTTTCATATAGTGCATGACTTTACAACATATCTTTTGATATCCAGACTAGGAATGCAGATCTGTAGATCTGCGTCCTAGTGTAGATATATGTATGTGTGTGTGTAAAAGTAATACATGCCTTTGGTAAAAGAAAACAGAAATTACAACAGTAACTCCAAAACAATTAGAAGTGGCCAGTCAGTGGTCCTTTGTCCCCAGGCTGCTCTACAACCTTGCTAGGCTGACCCCGTGAATAGCCTTTATGTTCATTCCCTTTGTGTTTGAGGTCAGTTGTGGTGGGAAGCTGTTGTTACTGCTTATTTCTTCAAGCTTCTCTAAGGGAATACACATAACATTTGCTTATGTCCCCACGTATGGAGAGAGCAAGTACTCTAGAGTAGTAAGTCCTTCTTCTCTCTCTGTTACCCCCATCAAGTTATTCATCTGGCACATGTGTTGAGTACTTATGGAGCCCTGGCCCTGTTCTGAGGCTGGGCGGGGGAGGGGGGGTCCCCTGGTGACCTAACCAAGTTCCCACCATTGTGCCCTGAAGAGTTTACACAGGCTCAGTAATTAAAATTATAGTCTATTAAGTGTGACATCCTGTCAGCTTGTGTTTGTCTGTTTATTTTATTGTTTTTATTTTTATAGATTAGCATTACTGATACATCTGTTATGATATGAAAACAAGTGCACCTTAAATTGTCTTTCATTTAAGAATTCCAAGTCATGGTTACACAGAAGATACCCCCATAAACATTTTAAGTTTGTAGACCTTGGCGAGTTAAAAATGATAAAACTCATAGTCCAGATTTCTCGGTAGATACTGGTAAAATACAGAGGATGACTTTTTCCACATCTACTTTCTCTTTGAAATTAGAGCAGCCAGATGGCCTGTGCCGGAGATTGGAGAAGGCATGCATTAGCCCCAAACCACAGAAGCCATGGGACAAGGATGCCTGGGAGATCCCCCGAGAGTCCATCAAGCTGGTGAAGAGGCTGGGCGCCGGGCAGTTCGGGGAAGTCTGGATGGGTGAGTGTGTGGCTCGGGAGCCTGAGTCCCTTCTGGAGAAATAAGAGCTCCAGCTGATTTCTATCAGTTTTCTCAGAAGCATTGATGTTTTCATTTCCCTCTGTCCTCCTGGTGCCAAGAACAAGCCTACACAGTCCTCGTGATTAGACCCTTTGTCTTCCTTGAGACTTAGGCGTTCTCTTGTTGGATGAATATTTGCAAGGAAGGGGCAGTGGGCACTTATCCTGGTAAATAATCCTGGTTTGTCCTGGTTTATCTGTCTCCTCTTCCCTGACTCTCATCGCCGGATTCTTTGGACATGCGGTTTAGTGCAGGCATCGCAGGGAAAGGTACAGTCGGGCTATGTGCCTATGCCCAGTCACTCAGTCGAGTCTGATTCTTCGCAGCCCTATGGACCGTAGGCCACCAGGCTCCTCTGTCCATGGGATTCTCCAGGCAAGAACACTGGAGTGGGTTGCCATGCCCTCCTCCAGGGGATCTTCCCGACCCAGGGACTGAACCTGCATGTCTTGCATGTCCTCTATTGGCAGATAGGTTCTTTACCACTGGCACCACCTGGGAAGTCGATCATTAATTCTCACTGCACTCTAAATCTCTGGGAACATGATAATGGAATCAGGGTAAATCATAATTACACAGCCTCACCTTGCTTATTGGGGTCTGTGTGAGTACCTGGCACTCTGTTTCCGGTTGGGTCCACAGACCGGAGGCGTGATCTTCCTTTAGCTGTGTCTCTGTTCCCACTCTGCTGCCTAAATCATCACCTCCTCCTCCTCCTTGCTCTGTCCACCTTTCCTTTTTTATTGAAGTAAAATTCATGTACCATAAGGTCAGTCATTTTAAAGTGAACAATTCACATTCATATTGTTGTATAGTCACCACTTCTATTTAGTTCTGGAATATTTCCATCGGTCCAGAAGGAAGCCCTGTACCCATAGTGCAGACACTCACCCCCACCCCCACTTCCCCAGCCCCTGGACACCACTCTACTTCCTGTCTGTATGACTGTAATACTCTAGGGCTCTCACGTCAGTGGGATCCTACACACATTTGTCCTTTTGTGTCTGGCTTATCTCCCTCAGCATGATCTCCTCAGGGTTCACCCATATTTGTCAGAATTTCTTTCTTCTTTTATGATTGAACACTGTTCCATTGTATGGGTATGCCACAGCTTATCTACTTATCCATTGGTGGACCTTTGGGTTGGTTCCATTTTTGGGCTATTATAAATAATGCTTCTTTGAACATTTATGTGCAAATTATTGTGTGGACAGGTGTTTTCATTTTCTTGAGGATATATATTCTCCTAGGAGTGAAATTGCTGAGTCACATCATTCTATGCTTAACTTTATAAGGAACTGTCTTAACTGGAATCTACTCATTTTTTAAAAAATTGTCACCTCTTTCTCCCCTGAGATATTTGCATTTATTTCTTAATATATTTTTTCCAAGTCCAAGGAGCAGCTATAATACATGCTGTATATTCTTCACCTAGATTCACCAGTTAATATTTTGCTGTACTTCCTGTATCATTTCTATACATACACACACAGACGTGTTTTATTTTTGCGAAGCCACATGAGGGTAAGGTGCAGACGCGATGACCTTCACCCTTGAATACTCACGCAGGCGTCTCCTCAGAGGAGGGCTGTGATCTCACGCTGCATGGTGGTCACATTCGGGAAGTTCTGCATTGATCTGCAGTCTAGTGTAGAGTCGGCATCCTAATTCCCCCTATTGTCCCAGTGATGTCCCCGGGGCTGTCGGGATCTAGAGTTTGCTTTTAACTGACCTGTCTCCTTCAATCTGGAAGAGCCCCTTGGCCCATCTCCATCTCACATGACAGGTTTGTCCTTTTGTAGAATATCTCTCACTTGGATTTCCCAGTGTTTCCCGTGAGTTGGTCCAGATTATATCCTGGGTCAGGAATACCATCTAAGAGCTAAGTGATGCTGTGTGTTCCTGCATCCCTCAGGGGCACGGAATGATGGCGGGTTTCATTATTGCCTACAGGCCACGGAGGGAGGGCAGATTTCCTAGTTCCCAGACTGAGCTGGAGGTTGGAGTAACCATGTTTGGGGTGGGGGTGGGGGGGCGGGGAGGGTGGAGGCGGGTCAGAGGACAGACGGCTGCTGCTTTTAGAGAGGTGATAGCTTCTAAGAGGGATGAGAATCAGATGAGCACGTGATGCTGAAACCATCTGGGGAAAGCGCTTTTGGATATTTAAATAATATTAAAGAATCTCCCTAAGGTAATGAATACATCAGTTACAATAGGGAATTAAAATGTTACATTTAAAATGGAGAAATCTGGTGGACCTCCTTAAAATCAAACAGAACACCAGCACCTTACTCTCCAGTGGCTCAGCAACAACAAAATAGGGATGGTGTAAAAACAGGATGAAGTGATGCAAGTAATCATTTAATATAGTTGACAGCATTTAAGAAGGGTTGTTATTATTTTAAATAATTATATTATGAAGATAGTATGATAAATTAGAGCAAAGACTATGGAATAGAGGGGAGAAATTACCCAGAATTTCCCCCCTCAACTCGAGCTGTTTCTTGGGTATTTTCAGTTAAACTATTTATTTTGAGATAACTATCGATTCACACATAGTTGTCTGAAATAATACAGAAATGAAAACATCTGTTCACACAAACACTTTTACACAACTGTTTGTAAGAGCGTTATTCATAATAACCAAAGAGTGTAAACAACCCAAATGTCCATCAGTTGATGAACGGATAAACAAAATGTGATGTTTCCTTGCAATGGAATATTATTTGGCAATAAAAAGAAAGTCCTGACACACGCTACAAGGATGACTTTTGAAAACACGATGATAAAGAAAAGAAACCAGGCACAAAGGACCATGTGTCATATGACTCCCATTTATGTGAAATGTCTGTAAAAGGCAGTTCTGTAGAGACAAAGAAAGTGAGTGGTTGCTTCAGGTTGAGGGGATGGCAGTGTAATTGTTAATAGGTACCATTTTGGGGGATTGGGGACATGACAATGTCCTTATAAAAGATTGTGGTGATGGTACCACAAATCTGAATATACCAAAACCAATGAATGATATGTTTTAAATGGGAAAGTGGTGTGGCATATGAATTATATTTCAATAAAGCTATTGTAGATGTAAAAGAAATAATACAGAGAGGTCCCATTGTAGCCTTTACTCAGTTTCTCCCCAAAGTAACATATTGCAAGACTATGGTATAACTTCACCTCTGGAATGTTGATGCTGCAAGTTGGTTGTTTTTAAATGGTACTTTTCCCCTAGTTTTGTATTAAAGATAGAAAAGAAAGAGAGGGAGGGAGAGAAGGAAGGAAAAGAGAGAAGAGGAGAAAAATAGTTTTGATCTGGGGTCTTGTGCAAGTGTGGTTCTGTGAACCTGGCTGCCAGCCAGGGAGCTCTTCCTTCGCTGCTGAATTACGTCAGTTTGTTGAATGCATTTAGCAGGGGAATGCTGGAAATGAAACCAAAGGAACAGTGGGGAGTGATGTGCTACGAATCAGGTCAAAGGATGCGCCCCTCCCATGTGTCTGCACGTCTCATTGTGACCAAGGCTCTGTGTAAGAGCAGGGTCTGTCTGTGCAGTTTAGAGCTGCTGGCAATTAGCTTTTACTTCTCAAGGGATAAATAAGCTGGCTAGCTTTGCTCATGGATAGAAAAAGGACAGCAGATTAAAAATTGCATCCCTGTTAATCAAGTAAGTGAATATTATCATGAAGCATGAGAAATGGCTCAGAGGCTCCCAGGCATACGTCATGGTCTGGATTTTTTGGTCCGAAGCACAGTGGACAAATACTAGGAAATGCCCTGATCTGGGGGGAGCAGGGGTGGGGAGAAAACAGAGAGGAGTTTGTCCCTCAAGCTGTTTCCTCTTGTCCGTGTGATCCTCAGCCGTCTGGTTCGGGGACCCGTTTTCCTCTGCGGGCTGCTGGACGCTGAGGGAACTGACCTATGAGTGACATAAAGGGTGACGTTTCCTGTCCCCGCTCAGTCTCTGAAGAGACTTTGGGAAAGAAAGGAAACTGATTTTGCGTTCAGGTTTGCTTGATACATCTTCATGGGAGCCAACTGCATTGAATGATTCACCAGCCAGCTTCTAAAAGCAACTGCATTCATCTTTTCGTATTAACAAAACCACCTTCGTCCTGTGGTATAGCAAGGCAGTCACACCTGCACTGGAGCGCTCTCTGCTTTACCTATGGCAGAGCGGCACCCACAAGAAATTATTTACTTCCTTCAAAAGATGAAAAAAAAAATTTTTTTTGCTGCTTCCTTTTATTTATTTATTATTACAAATTTATTTTTTATTCAAGTGCAGTTGACCTACAGTGTTGTGGTGGTTTCAGGTGTATAACAAAGCGATTCAGTTATATATAAGAATCTTTTTTCAGATTCTTTTCCCTTACAGGTCATTACAAAATATTGAGTAGAGTTCCCTGTAGGTCCTTGTTGTTCATCTGTTTTATACATAGTAGTACGTGTGGGTGTTTCCATCTATCATGCCACATCTCTGTGACCTGTGAACCTGCCATTACTGGGCAGTATGTTGGTAAAGTACGATTTGATGCTGAGCGCTGAGTAAAACTCTTGCCTTTGGTGTAGACGGAAACCTGCCCTGTCATGCAAGTTTCACAGCCCTAAGCAGCCATGAGTGGAAGCTGCTGTCCTCCTAGAGTTGGGTTTGACACAGCTGTTTTAATCGCTGCTCTTTTCAAACTCCTTATCAGCATTTTTAATATCTTTCGCAGTTGTAGTATTTCCTGGTGATTTTTTTCCCCTGCACTTGGAGAGCATTTGTTTTTTTCTTCATCCATGACCCATAACTTCATGTTCTGTGAAAAGTCTCAGTGAGTCCCATGGCTTTTGTGATGACAAAAGGAGACTAGCTAGCCCTGCTTCTTTCTCTTCTGTTGCTGTAACATGCAGTGTAACAAGCAGACGGAAAAGTGCCTACCACACGAACGTTCGATTTCACAGCTACTGACAACATGAAAACCTGTGTGGTGACCACTGAATCACACCCGAAGCCCCCATTCACCCTTTCCCAACCACAACCCCACCTGTCCCCCCGAAGGCAGCTGCTATTCTGGCTTTTGTGATCATTTCCTGACTTTTCTTTGTAGTTCTGCTGCTTTTGTGTATTGGGCTGTGTGCACCCAGAGTAGTTTACTTTTGTCCAGTTTTAAACTTTATATAAAAGAAACCCTACTATTTATCAATGGCATTGGAGTTACTCCCATGTTCTGGCTATTAGGAACAAGGCCACTGTGAACGTTTTTGGGCTGCTTGGTACCAGGGTACATGAGTTTCTCTAGATGACCAGGGTGGATTTACTGGATCACAGGTGTATGAATCTTTAGATCCAGTGCTCAGCCCCTCAGTCATGTCCGACTCTTTGAGACCCCACAGACTATAGCCCGTCAGGCTCCTCTGTCCCTGGGCTTTCCCAGGCAAGATTACTGGAGTAGGTTGCAATTTCCTCCTCCAGGGGACCTTCCCGACCCAGGGATCGAATTATTGACCACTTGAGCCACCTGGGAAGCCTTCAGCTCCAATAAATGCTTCAGTCTTTGTTTCTAAAGCGCTGTTCTGGGTTACACCCTCCCCACCAATGTGCACGGGTTTGTGGTCAGGTGGGTATTCACTCAGTAAAATTGCACTAGAAGGAGCCTGCTCTGTCAGCATCCTTCCAGGGCCCTTGAGGATGCTGTTGAAGATAGAAGCTTTACAACTCAGTTTGAGCGATGCTCAGAACAGAGCCCAGAAAGGACCTGCAGGAATTGTCCCAGCTGTCCTGCCGAGGGGCTAGCACTACCAGCACTCAAGATTGTCAGACTTTTGTTATTTTTGTCTTGCTGGGTGGTGGTTTCTTTCTCCTGGAGGTTTTTTTTTTTTGGCTGCTCTAGGTCTTCGTTGCTGCACATGTGCTTTCTCTCGTTGCAGGGAGGGGGCTACTCTTGTTAAAGCATGAGGGCTATAGAGCACAGGCTCAGTACTTGTGGCACGCGGCTTAGTTGCTCCACGACATGTGGAATCTTCCGAGGCCAGAGATCGAACCCCTGTCCCCTGCATTGGCAGGTGGATTCTTAACCACACCAAGGAAGTCCTCTGGAGACCACTGTCGTTGGTTTTCACTGAGCGTAAGCTGTGTGTGTGCTGATAATCGTGTGACCTGAAAAGGGACTGGATGTTTCCACATCACCATTCCTGAGATGTGTGTCTCTCTTGGGCCTGGGGCTGTTAGGGGGTCACACACCAGGTAGAGGTGACCTTGAGGGTGACTCGTGGTCACCATCTGCCACTCCACCCTCACCTTTTCCTGTCCTTCCAAGAGAACTATGAAAGCAGAAAGAAAAGCTGCATGTGATTACTTCTATTTCTGCTTACCAAACCACCGAGAAAAGGCTTTTCCAGGAGAAAATCAAGCTCCAAAGTAAGCACATCGTTGGGAACTTCCCTGGCAGTCCAATGGTCAAGACTTCACCTTCCAATGGAGCGGGTATGGGTTCAATCCCTGGTTGGAGAGCTAAGATGCCACGTGCCTCACGGCCGAAAAACCAAAACAGAAGACAGAAACAATATTGTAACAAATTCAATAAAGACTTAAAAAATGGTCCACATCAAAAATAAAGAAAGAAAAAGTAACCACATCATGGAGGCAGGTCCCAAAAAATCAGTGCCTTGGGGGAACTATATTAAGGAAGCGGTGTTTCCCGAAGTGTGTTCTGGGAGATAAAAGGTACATGAAGATGTGTTCTGAGGTTGAGATAGCATGGGAAATGCTGTGGTTAACCGAGCCAGATGGGCATCTTCCTTGCTTGGCTGTCTGCACTCTCGCTGTGTCTCCTGGGTGAGACGGCATGGGGCGGGCAGGCGTTTCCAGGTGGCTCAAGCCAGAGCCCTTGCTTTGCATAGAATCACTGTGTCCAGTTCTCTTTGAAAACTATGAGAAATACTTATTTGACTCCTGTGTATTCTTTGTACTTTAGAGTTAGTAAGGTTCTTTCAAGGGCAAAGCTTTTCTTTCTGATTATAAAAATAATGCATATTCATTGTAGTAAAGTTAAAGAGTTAAAGGTATGGTGAGCAAAATTTAAATCACTCATAATTAAGCCAGTGCTCAGTGTATTCTGGTGTATTTTCTTCCAGATAGTTGTCAGACTGTGTGTGTGTGTGTGTGTGTGTGTGTGTGTGTGTTGTGTAAGAGTATCTAATAGACTTATGGTGTATGGGATTTTTTGTCTTGGGATTAAAAGCATTTTATTAATTAGAAAAAAATCTAATGAATTAGAGAAAATCAAATTCATTAGACAAAATGGTACAGTGCATATGGAATTTTGTTTTACCATTGTTTTATAAAAACTTTTTCATTTCAGAATAATTTTAAGTTTTTTGGTAAAGATAATACAGAGAATTCTCATACACCCTTTACTCAGTTGCCCATAATGTTACGTGCTATGCTATGCTTGGTTGCTCAGTCATTTTGTGATCAATTTCATTTCTGACTCTTTGCGACCCCATGGACTATGTGTAGCCCACTAGGCTCCTCTGTCCATGGGATTCTCCAGGCAAGAGTACTGGAGTAGGTTGCCATTTCCTTCTCCAGGGGATCTTCCCAAACCAGGGATTGAACCCAGATCTCTGGCATTGCAGGCTGATTCTTTGCCATCTGAGCCACCAGGGAAGCCCAAGAATACTCAAGTGGGTAGCCTATCCCTTCTGCAGGGGAACTTCCCAACCCAGGAGTAAAATCGGGGTCTCCTGCATTGCAGGCGGATTCTTTACCAGCTGAGCTGCTACCAGGGAAGCCCCCTAATGTTACATATATAGGTTTTGTTTTTCTTCTTATTATTATTTTTAAAGCATTTATTTGTCCACACCAGGTCTTCGTTGTAGCATGTGTGATTTTTTTAGTTGTAGCATGTGAGATCTTTAGTTGAGGCTTGCCAACTCTTAGTTGTGTCATGTGGGATCTAGTTCCCTGACCAGGGATCAGACCTGGGTCCCCTGCATTGGGAGATCAGCATCTTAGCCACTGGACCACCAGGGAAGTCCCTAAAGGTTTTAGATAATGTTAACACTATAGAGTTTATAGAAGTTTTTTCTGTCTATAGCTAAATATTCTTCTAAGTCTGCATGAAGTTTTTGATGAATCACGACCTCCCTTCTTTTCCCTCCCTAGGTTACTATAACAACAGCACCAAAGTGGCCGTAAAAACACTGAAGCCAGGCACAATGTCTGTGCAGGCGTTCCTGGAGGAGGCCAACCTCATGAAGACACTGCAGCACGACAAGCTGGTGCGGCTGTATGCTGTGGTCACCAAAGAGGAGCCCATCTTCATCATCACTGAGTACATGGCCAAGGGTGAGTGCCCGCCCCACACCCAGGCTTGTGACCGTTCAGCCCTCAGAAAGGACACCCGGGTGTGTGATGGCCCAGCCCTCAGAAAGGAGAATATCTAGACATTCAGAGACTCCTCTGATAATTCAGATTATCAACAGCAGGCTCACCACAAGGGCTTCCCAGGTGGCACTAGTGGTAAAGAACCCGCCCGTCAATACAGGAGACATAAGAGATGTCAGTTTGATCCCTGGGTCGGGAAGATCCACTGGAGGAGGAGATGGCAACCCACTCCAGTATTCTTGCCTGGAGAATCCCATGGACAGAGGAGCCTGGCGGGCTAGAATCCACAGGGTCAACAAAGAGTCGGGCACAACTGTTTGGTAGAAAAACATCAGAAAACACAGGAAAACGAAGCCCTTTCATAAGCCACCTCACTGGAAGTCATCTGTTATAAAATGAACATGTTGTCTTCCCAGTTCTGTGCACTTGTCTCCGTGTACCTGCTGGCCTCAAGAATGGGATCCCAAACCTAGACGGCCCCCGGACATAATTGTCAAATAAGTAAATACAGATATCAAATAAGAGTATTATTGTTTGGGGTTCCAATTGTGAGTTCTCAAAATTGAAAACCAGTTCCTTGTCCTCTTTAGCATTATCTAAATGTTCAGAATGACACTTTAAAACATAAATATTTGAAAAACTTGTCAAAGTCAAGTTCCTATGCCATCACAGAGTCCCTGAAGAAGAGGTTTCAAGTAGCCATCTTTTCTCCCTCTGCTGTCCCCTTCAGATCAAGAGTCTTAAGTCATCATCCTTCTTCCTCCAGCTCAGGAGAAATGCTAATTAAACTGCCCATGATTTCTAAAGAATCTTCAGAAGGAACAAAGATGATACCTAAGCCATCATCCAGAACTAACAGTGACCTCCTGAGAATGGAGATTATAGTGTGATGCCATAACTGAATAGGTTAGAAAGATGAATATTGCATTTTCTTATTTAATATAGGTTAATATTTCAGAATATTAATATCTCCCGGAGTCCTTCTAAAAAAGAATACTTTTTTAAGCCCTATCAAGGCTTCCCTGGTGGTTCGGTGGTAAAGAATTCTCCTGCCAGTGCATGAGACACGGGTTCGATCCCTGATCCTGGAAGATCCCACATTCGACGGAGCAACTCAGCCCATGTGCCACAGATACTGAGCCTGTGCTCTGGAGCCCAGGAGCCACAACTACTGCAGCCCATGCACCTAGAGCCCATGTTTCACAAGAGCAGCCACTGCCAGGAGAAGCCCGTGTACCACAACTAGAGAGCAGCCCGTACAGCACAGCCAAGAAAATAAATATAAGAAGATAAATACATTTTGGAAACACCCTATTACCTATTAGGTTGCTGCCATTCAGGAATCAGACTCAGGATCAGATGCTTAAGCAGGAGTTCATAGATACCTGTGGGGTTGATTAACCAATAATGTTCTTAACCATAAATGTAAACGGTAGCAGTGCCCACCTTGTACTGAGCAGTTACTGTACGCCAGATGGCACTTGGTGTCTTCCCTGAGGACCACACTCATCTTCTCAGCAGTCTAGGCTGAGCACCACCTTCTGTGTTAAGGATGCATTGAGCGCTTACTACCTGCCATCACCCTGGCACGTGCTTTAAACCCCTCCTCCCATGGACTGTGGTAGAGTTCCTGGGAACTACCCACTTGACAGGGGCTCAGACAAGGTACAGAACTTGCCCAAGGTCACCCTCAAGTTGGTGCTACAAGTTCTAGAAGAAGGAGCAGGGCATGTTTTAGAGATGAAGTCCAGGGATACTGGAGACAATGCTGGTGCGCACACTTGCTCCCTTTTAAGTGAGATCTCACTTTCCTCCAAAGCACAGTTGGTTCATCACATCCTCACCGGGCACCTGGGTGGTGCCTGAGAGCCGTACTGGGCATGGATGGGAGTAGGACAGTGAGTGTCTGCTGTGGGCATGAGGAGCCCAGCTGGGAGGACAGGATGGCTTCTGTCTGAGAGAGGCCCTGCAGGCAGGATGCATGCCATGGTGGCAGGTACAAATGCTCTGTAGCAAGAAAAGGAGCATCCACTGTCACCCTTTCTTACCTGGAGCTCTTTCTTACCTGTGTACATCTCACAACAGGTCAAAGGGGATAGGTCAGAGGGGACTGGGTTTGACCAACATCAGGAAAAGGCACTGTGACCACACAGAATGGTAAAGCAGTCATTTCACCTGGCCCCTTCTCCCTGCCCTGCCAGTAGAAATGATCATTTGAATTTCGTTTGGATTTCTTTATGTGTGTATGTTTGAACTGCACTGATTCACTCTTCCTTCATCAACAGGCAGCTTGCTGGATTTCCTGAAGAGCGATGAGGGGAGCAAGGTGCTGCTTCCGAAGCTGATTGACTTCTCTGCTCAGGTGACGTATGAAAAAGCAGCTGTAAAGTGCTGTAAATGTCCCCGGCTTCAGACTCGGGATGGAACTGCACTTCCAGGGGGAAGGCATTAGGGTTGTGTTTCCTAGTAGACCTTCGAAGGACAGGTCCTTGGAGGTGGCGATGGGTATTTCTCTTGGAACGTGTGTGCACGTGTTGAGTGTTGACATGGATGCTCTTGTGTCTGACCCAGTCCACCTCTTTATACTTGCGTTCATTTCTGCATGAAAGATAGAAACAGCACCACTGAGCTGATTACTTTCGTGCATTCTGGAGATGAACTCCATGCGGTATAATCATGGCACCTTCTCAGTGATGTATATGTAGTGTTTAAGTTACTAAGTTCTGATGCCTCAGTGTTCTGGGAAACAGAAGAACTGTTTTCCTTCCCTCTCTACCCCACTTACGCTCCTTGCTGGATGTGTCTTTAGGATTCTGAGAAATGTTCATTTGTAACACTTCTAGTACTAGCCTCGGGCTGCCTAGGTGGCTCAGTGGTAGAGAATCTGCCTGCCATGCAAGAGATGGGGTTCAATCCCTGGGTCGAGAAGATCCCCTGGAGAAAGAAATGGCAACCCACTCCAGTATTCTTGCCTAGAGAATCCCACGGACAGAGGAGCCTGAAGGTCTAGAGCCCATGGGGTCACAAAGCGTCGGACATGACTGAGTGACTAGCACCTTCTTTTTTTCACTTTCTGAGAAGATGAGACCAGAGGAACAAGTTAGTCCTCACATAAAGCACTTTGAGTAGCAAAGGCCCAGAGCACATGCCGTGTAGCAGAGTGTCAGGGGGCAGAGTCGGAGCCCAGCATCCTGGACTGAGCTGGTGCCGATGCTTGGACACTCGGTGGCCACTGTCAGGGGGCCTTTTCCTCTTTGGATTAGTGTCTTCACCTGTTTAAGGGGTATGGTCATTCCTGCTCCAAGGAGAGGTGTTGAGGGTAGAGTCAAATGAGCTGGCATGGACAGGTTGCTTCGGAGCCAGCGGGGAGACACTGAAGAGACCCTGGGGGTGACTCTCCCCCCTCGCTGCAGTAAAGGCGAGTGAGGAAGTTGTCCTGCTTACCCTCATCTCGTCTGCACAGCTGGGGCTCTTAACAGGTTCCTTATCCCAGTAGGCAATTCAAACGGTATCTGCAACTCCAATATCTAGAGTGGAAAGAAGCACGATTGTTGTCGTGAGGGCTGAGGAGGCAGCCCTGACTTTTGAACCCTCTTCTCAAACTCTCTAAGCTGCCCCGTGAGGCTCTGTGGGACCCCCAGGCTGTAGGCCAATAGTTTTTGTTTTGTTTTAAGATTTTTTGATGTGGATCATTTTTAAAGTCTTGGTTGACTTCGTTACAACATTGCTTGTTTTATGTTTTGGTTTTTTTGGCCGAGAGGCATGTGGGGTCTTAGCTCCCCGACCAGGGATTGAACCTGCACCCCCTGCATCGGAAGGCACAGTCTTAACCACTGGACCTCCAGGGGAGTCTCCAGGCCCACGCTTTGAAAACCACTGCTGGGCAGTGAGAGGAGAGATGACTTGGGCTCAGCTCTGGACCCTGCACGGACAGGAGTCAGGAGACCGAGAAAGCAGAGGCTCACGAGCCCATGTCACTCTCGGCACCATTATACGAGGCGGGGGAGCCCTGCCAAGGAGTCCCCACTGGATACGAATGTTGAGGGGTATCGTAAGGGCTTGTGCACTTGCTTCTCAGAAGGGGAAAGGGGCTGTGGAAGAGGAGGGCACGTGGCCTGGAGGCCTGGCTGGTCATCCCTGTCTGGGCTCTCGGGGTCTCATTTGTGCCTGCCTGTAGGGTGGAAATTAGCACATCAGGTTGTGTGCTATGTCTGGGTAGGACTTATCTTGTCATAAGGGTACTTTGTATCTGGTTTTGTATAGCTTATCTTGTAAAACCTTATCTTGATATAGTTCTTAAGGTTCAAGTCAAGGCCTCCATCTCTAATCTTTAACTTTCAGATTGTGGGTTCCAGGAGCGTCCAGGGAGCAATCGAGGTGCCCACCCCTGGTCACCGTCCAAGCCAGCATACTGCATCCAGCTCATAGAATGATGCTCTTGTTCATCCGTCTCAGGCTGGCTCTCCCAGCAGTGACTGCTGGGTACCACGTCTAGTTTAAGAGCAGGAGAATTGAGTGTCTGTGGAGGGTCGGCAGCACCAGGGAGCCCCTAGCAGGTGGGGTCAGCTCAAAGCTCAAGGTCCTTATAACCGAATTCCATCTCCTTAAGATCATCTTTGTTCATAGGGCAAACCTCGCCTCAACTCTCCCCCAGCCCTCCCCTCTAGGGGGAACTACTGAGATCTCCTGTTGTCTGTTATTAATTGTCATCCATTTTATCTGCTTGTGGCTTTTCTTATTATAATATTGGAGGGACCTGCACCTTGGCAGTGAGGGTGGGGCATGTATGCCTCAGTTTCGGTTTGAAATCCTACACTGCACACATCCAATCGCTGTCAACCATGCCAGCCACCCCATCCCTCTGTGATAGTCAGTTCCCTTTATGACTGGCGCTCCCCACACTCCTCCATCTTCATGGGCCTTTCTGAAACCATCTCTGTACAAAGAAAGTCATCTCTGAATTGTTTCTCCTTTTCCCCTCCATCATGTGCCAGTAATGAACATTGTCGCTTTCCCATAGTGAATAACTTGAGAATAGTAAATATTCATAAAGCTGGCCCCAGGTGACACATGGAGAAGGAAATGGCAACCCACTCCAGTATTCTTGCCTGGGAAATCCCATGGACAGAAGAGCCTGACAGGGTCTCAAAAAGTCAGACATGACTCAGCGACTAAACAACGATCAATAAGGTGACACAGACACCCAGTTTCCTAATAAACCGACCTTCTTACCCCTTACCTCCACTTGACTATTGAAAGTGGAAATGGGGTAAAGCAGAAGAATTGGTGGATCTGAGTGGTATTTGAACTCAACAATCAGTAGCCTATAAAATACTTTTACACTTTCTTCCATCTGCACTGTCAGTAGCATCAGAGATCTGGGAAACTGAGTGTTCACAAGAGGCTATGGTTAAATTCAGTAGTTTTTGCAATGGGAGACTGAGAGCAGAAATAAACCAGTTGACTGATTCCCAGCCCCAGAAGAATAAGGAAACGGGGGTGGGGGTGGGGCATGTGAGGGGCAGTGCTGGGACTTTTCCCAGACTCTCCTTTCAGCAATTCTTCCCTCTCCCCACCAGCTACTTCCCCATGCTCCTCTCCCCTCCGCAAGCTCCCTCAGGGCCAATCAAGATAGGAAGTGAGTTGTGAGAGCTGATTTCATCACTTCCTGTCTCAGGATAAGTTCTGAAAGGTTCCTCGGAGCTCCAGTGTCATCGACCAGCCCACCTCAGGCCACCCGTCTTCCTCTCCACTTAGTGGAGATTAAGAAATCCCAACTGAGTCAGCCATATCCAGTACTTCTCTTGTATTAAAACCATCTTGTGCTGAAGTAGAAAAATGACCCTTTTGCAAAGGAAGTTTGATACTTTCAAAGCAGAGAAACTTTGTCCAACTGCTTTCCAGCCCTTGCCTCATGTAAGAGACAAAAATGAACTTGGAAAGAGGAGTGGGTGAAATCTGGGAATTTCCTTCAGCAGAGATGGAAATGGGCTTGTAGACTCATCAAACAGAGAAGGAAAGGAAGTGGGGACTTCACAGTTGCAATATGGAGGTCACATAAATCATCTTGTAATTCAGGGGAATCAAGGCATTTCATGATCTTTGGGGGAACAAAAGTACCAAAAGTCAAAGAACACACAGTCACGTGTGAGTAAAGCTGCAGTACTGTCCATGGCATTTTCCAGGCAGGAATATTGGAGTGAGTTGCCATTTCCTCCTCCAGTGGACCAGGTTTTGTCAGAGCTCTTCACTATGAACCATCCATCTTGGGTGACCCTGAATGGCATGGCTCATAGCTTCATTGAGTTACACAAGCCCCTTTGCCATAACAAAGTTGTGGCATGCTGCAGTCCATGGGGGTCACAAAAAGTCAGACAGTACTTAGCGACTGAACAACAACGAAACTGCAGTAAAAATGGGAAAATCAAAGTTGTTGTTATAATCATGGCAGCAGGTAGCATTTCTTTAACTCTTCCTAGATGATAAAACACTTCTATCTCCATCATTTAATTTGAGCCCAACCACCTTGAAAGCATTTATATTGTTGTTTAATACATTTTACAGATGGAGGGGTGACCTTGAACTTATCCAAGGTAACAGCTGGTGGTAGAATTGCTGTGCTCCATCATGGCTCCTCTGACTTTAGATAACTGGTCCTTTCCTCTGCACCCCACTGTAATTTCATGATCAGAGTTGCCCTGTGGTCATCTGCACCTGACATTTTGCTAATATGTATTTCCCCCTTTTATAGATTTTGATTATCAGAATTAATAATATCTTTAGTGGCTTTTTTTTCCCCCAAAGAATCTCTATCTCCAAGATGCAGGTCTTTGTGTCACACAGTGATTGTGCTCAAGATACATTTTGCCTTCTCGTGTTAAAGGGTAAGCCACATTTAAGTTGGAAATCAGGGACCAAGGCAGGTCAGATATCTCAGTCTACAATCATGTGATTCTCAGCCTGTTTTACTAAATGTTAGAGTGCCTGAGTCTGCCCTCATTGAAGTATCTACTGATCAAGAAAACAGGGTATAGACAGGGGATCCCTTGTAATAACTCTGAGTTGGAACCGCCAGTTAGCAGAGATGGTCATTTCCACAGAATCATCTGGACGGGTGCCACCAGCAACAAGGAAGCCCCCAGGTAACTGAGCTGGATGGTTTCCAGTGATAATTTCAGTGGAAGCTGAGCTGGGGCATCATCCCCTTCCCTGTTCCGGGGTCTCCTCCTCTGTCCCCGATTCCTGGAATCCCTTCCTTTGCCTCCGGAGCCTCCTCCCTACACCTGACTGCTCCTCCTCCCTGTCCCCACCCCACTCCCCACCTGGCCTGTCTCAGTCATGCTTTCCAAACAACTGTACCTG